CCCATTCCAAAGAGTAAACTCCCCGCTGTGGGAGCCAGTGATAAGACGTCTTCCTGAAGGTGTCCACTAAATACAAGAAAACCCAATCAGCAAACAGTATGGCAAACAGAGAAGAGCACAATACAGGCAGCTGTTGGAGGGATATACCAATACACAGTTGATTGAACAACGGTTCTTGTTTAGAGATGTGTGAACAAACTTTGCAGCAAAGCTTGTCGAAGGATTATCTGAATAAGCAACCGGGGGAAGCATCTGAAACAATGATATAAAAGTTAAGAGCAAAAAAATTATTCAAACACTGGATATAGTAATCCTCAGATCACGAATCGATTGCATATTCCAGAAAACTAAAAAAGAAACCCACATCAACTGCTGCAGCTGGGGTTGGTTGCAAAGTGGTCCTATCCCTCGAGTCTCGCTGCCATGTTCGAGCCTGAACAAAAAACATAAATGTACTTTTATTTCAACCCAATGTATGAGCTAGTTTAACAACATATCCATCTCAATTGCATGACATAAAGACACTGCTGTATAATCAATCAGTCTAAAAGGGTCTAACGAAGAACTACTGAGACAAGAAATTTGGTATACATTACCTGAATATATTTCACAACGGTGCTTGTGTAATCAACAGCTCTTCTCTGTGTATGCTTTCTCATTCGTTTCGCAGCGAAACTGTCTACATGTGCTGCAACATCAAACAAGAGAGATGAGATCTCATAGTGAAAGCTCTGACAATACATTTGAACACAACTAGTACTCTTACAGTCGAAGGGATTAGAGGAATGGTGGTACTCGGGAGTGGAAGAAGCCTTGTGCAGAATCGTGGGGTGCTGAGTCTGATCAACCATGTTGACCTCTGCAAATAAGAATCCGAAAACAGAAAACGATGAATTAAAACCCTAATTAGATCGATCACCACAGAGGAATTGCATAACGAGAGACAGAGAGAAAAAAAGCTGGAAGAAACAGAGAGCAAGTAACTACTCAGGGGAAAGGATTCGTCAGACGGCGAACAGAGCTCGGAAAACTACGGGAAGCGATTTTGGAGCTTCGTTTTGGACAATGGGTTTTGGCGAAAACGGCATCGTTCATATTATCTTAATGATTTTTTTGTGGGCTTTTTATGAGCCCATTAACTAATAGCCCAATTTTTCTGAAAATACCGACTTTACAATGATTTGTTGCGAGTTCGATGGCTGTGAAAAATGGGGACTAGATTTGATTTGGTATTTATTTAGCTTTTTTTCTTCATTTACGCATTTAAATGCAAAAGAGCAAGCATAAAATACATAATCAAGAAGACCGAGTCAAAACCATTGATAATACTATTCGAAACAAGACTAGTTCACTCGGTACGGTGGATAATCAATATGAGGAGCTAGCGGCTGATATAATTTGGTTTGACATTCGAATATAAATCTGATCTCAACTCTTCGATAAATTCAAGTCTCTCCTATGTTTTAGCTTTAACCTCTGTTTAGAAAAATTAAAGAATAAGATGCAAATGATGTAACAAAGTTTGTTTAGTTGAATATAATTTTACTTTCTCTTAAAAAAAAAAAAAGAAACTCTTGCTTATGCAATTGCATTAGGTAAGTGTTACTTTGGTTTTTGCCTATTCTCTGTATGGAATTAGGTAACTTCTCTTATTTGAGATTATGCCTCAAAGTCAAAGTCCTCTCATTTTCTTACTATCATGTTTAGAGGAGAAGACATGAGTTGTTACAGTGGTGAAGACAACGATGTGTATTGCTAGTTGGGTTCTGCCTCCCTCTATGAAACTTAGGGTGCAAATGGTTGATATAAAACGGTCCACTCACTATTTTTCATTAATCATTATTCAATTTATTCCTCCAAATCACCACTATTTACACATTAATTTAGTGTAACTTCTGTTATATGATATAGAAATTTATTTGAAGCTTTCTTTACATCTCTAAGGGATGAACTTGAGTCTTGTTCCTAGATCATATTGATTCTCGCGAGCAGCCTATAAACCCTTAAGGTGGACTTTCACAAGAACAATTATCAACAGCAATGCGATCGCACTCCTTATCCCATATGTTTTCCATTCCACACTGCAAACTTTCCCTTTCATTTTCATCCATAAGGTGTCACGACATCCGACACATATGGTTCAAAAATTATTTGACATTTAACACCATACCGTTGTCCAAAACACTTTGACCACTACCACGATTATGATGGACAATTTTTTTAAAAGGGTGTAAAGATCTACAGTTTAATCCTATGTTGCAAATAATCTGGTTCAAACTTGAATTACCACTCGATTTTGACCTATACAACGCAATGTTTTCTTCATGACGGAATTAATTACATGTAATTCTTATACTTGAGTCTCCTCTAGTCCTACTAGCAAGATTTTCATTCGGAAAATAAAACAGAAAGATTCTTAAAGCCCAAAGAAAATGTGAGAATCTTGTAATCTTACAAGTTTCCAACCATCCAATTATCAATTAATCATAAGTTCTTATTCATATATAAAGACTTACATGATTATAAATTAAATGATGATTTAGTGGTTTACCCGTACCATATTCGGATCAAAAATCTATATAAATCCAGTTCTAAGCTAAAACTCAACAAACACATTCATGAATTAATATATTATCAATGGTTGAGTTTGCAGCTAATGATAGTTAATTATTCTTTCAAATGTTTGATCTACACTTTCGAGTTGTGAGATTTTATAAACTTTTGTTTTCATATTGACAACGATCTTTATTAAGTTTTGAAAATCTTTCATTTTCCGCACAAGACTTGAAAGCCATACAAAAATAAAGGGAACTGAAGATTACTTAGAAAGAGAACCATCACATAAATTCACTTCACGAGGAGAGTGAGTATCCTTTCACCTGGGGAAGATATTTTGAAAATGTCGGATCTCATGTAGTAAAAATCCAAGAAATGTGCACTCCTCTGAATCCATTAATTCCACCACCACAACATTTAGCCAACTCGATTTTGAAAGTGCAGTCAACAAATTGAATCCTTCCTGCCCAAACTAATAACTTCTGCATCCAAAGCAATACAAGGGCACGCGCGTGAAAGTTTCTCACCATCACCTATAATATTATGGTTACGTTTTCGGAAATTTTCAGAAATACCAATTTTTTTAGTTTAGTTCCTTAAAATGTCACACTTTTTTAAATAGCAAATCTTCCTATATTTGTGAAGCCTTCCTAAATTCTTGTCGAAGATTTCCTTCTAAGTTTACTAAAAAGTTATACTATTTGTAAAAGCAAAACGTTAATAATATGACGTTTCAGGGTATTTCTCATTATCGGGTTGAAAGAACATGTTCGAGTCC